GGTACTTTTTTTTTCTATAGTAAATAATATTTGCATAATATTTATTTATTTTCTTCTAATCAGTTTATGATCGTATGAGATATAATGTGTCTATTAATCGACTAATACGAACTGGTAAACTAAAGAAGCTTATTAGTGAATGCATGATATATACATAGAAAGAAATTTAGTGTGTATAAGAAGATTATTTTCTATTTCGTTTGTTTAGAATACAAAAATAGATCTTCTGCTTCGGAAGTGAAATTAGTAAGTATTGATATTGATTGAATTTTTTCGAGTATTTTATTGAATTTAATTAGCCGATACGACAAGCTCGTGTTCCAAATTTAAACCCAAGAGTTACTTCAAATGAAGAATCATCATTTGAACCTCGTTGGCCTAGTGAAATAGAAGTATTAAATGAACCACGTATTAAACATATAAATATCCCACCATCTCAACCTGAATATTTTTATAAACCAAGTTTGTTATTCTTTTGTTTTTCGTTTAATTAATTTCTCAATAAAATTTTAGCTACCGACCATGGACCATTCGTACGTAGTTTTGATGAAAATAATGGTCGTACTGTTTATAATTATAATCCAGAAACAAGTGGTTATGTAAGTTATTTTAATTAATTATAATTCTCAAAAATAATTGTATAAGATAGTTTGTTCGATCTCGTGTTGGAGGTAATAGAGAAGGTTGTCGATCAGCAGCTGTTTCACTTCAAAATACTGAAGATACGACTGTTTTATTTGAATCACGTTTTGAAAGTGGAAATTTAATGAAAGCTGTTCAAGTGTATGTATTTATAATTCAGTTCGAAAAAAAGAGAATTGATTATTTTATTTACTAGAGGTGAATTTGATTATGAACTTTATCTTCGATATGATCTTTATACAAAACGAAATACTCAATGGTTTTATTTTCGTTTACAAAATATTCAAACTGATAAAAGATATCGATTTACTATTGTAAATTTTTTTAAAGTAATTCTTTACATTGATTTTAACATGTATATTATTAAGTATTGATTTTAGTCTACAAGTCTTTATAGTTCTGGAATGAGACCTTTATTATATAGTACTGAGGATGCCGAAAATAAAGGTATTGGTTGGCGACGATGGGGTGAAGAAATTGTCTATTATAAAAATAATCTACTGTAATAAAATAACTTTGTTTTTCTTTAATATTGTAATTATTTATTCTATAGTGCACCTGATAATACAACAAATATGTATTCTCTCACTTGGACATGTAAATTCCCAAATAATAACGATACTTATTACTTTGCTCATTGTTATCCATATACATATTCTGATTTACAAGTAAAATATCAAATTTAATTTTACTTATTAAAATATTTATATATTCAAGGATTATCTTAATGAAGTACAAACTGATCGATTTAAAAATGAATATTGTAAACAAAAAGTTCTTTGTCGAACATTAGCTGGAAATTTTATTTATATGCTTACAATAACAAATGCTACACCTCCACAAGCTATTAATATATGTTCACCTTCGGAACATCAAGGAAAAAAAGGTGTTGTTGTTACAGCACGTGTACATCCAGGTGAAACAAATGGATCATGGATGATGAAAGGTTTAATGGATTTTCTACTTGGTGATTCAGCTGATGCTAGAGTATGAAAATTATCATATCAAAAAAAAACAATTAATCATTTCGTTTTAGCTTCTTCGAGATAATTTTATCTTTAAAATAATTCCAATGCTTAATCCCGATGGAGTTATTGTTGGTAATTATCGTTGTTCATTATCTGGTCGTGATTTAAATCGAAATTATAAAACAGTTCTTAAAGATGCGTATCCATCTATATGGCATACAAGAGAAATGGTTAAAAGGTTTTTTTCTAAAAACAAAAAAAACGAAGTATCAGTTTTTGAAGTGATTTTGTTTTAAATATATTTAGATTTATGACAGAAACTGAACTTGTTCTTTATTGCGATTTTCATGGTCATTCAAGAAAACAAAATGTTTTTGTTTATGGTTGTGAAAATAAGAATGCACCAAATGAAAGGCTAAAAGAAAGAATATTTCCAGCAATGTTATCAAAAAATGATCCATCAAAAGTTTGTATTTTAATGATAATTATAATTTTCGCTTATATAAACATTTATCATACTGATCTTTGTAATAATGTGAAACAAAATTATGTAAAAAATCGAACTACTTTCCAAATAATTTTTAATTGTCTTGAGGCAAAAGCATTATACATATACTTTCCTACTCCCTCAAGTTAAACAATTACTTTTATACTAAATAACTCTACATAATGAATGAATTGTAGACATTTTTTTTTATTAACCCTTTCAGGACGGTGGTACAACATATGTACCACCTACCCTGAAGGGGGGTACAGGTATTCTTAAAAAAAAAATTTTTTTTTTTGAGTCGCGGTTAAAAAGATAGTTTAAGAATAATACACTGATCACGAAACCAGAACTAATCCTGAAAAGGTTAATTACCATATCCGTTAGTTACGATGATATATTAAAAAATGTTCTTAAAAGTCAAAAAGTAGAATAAAATAATGAAAAAATACAAGTAATAAGACTATCAATCATTTTATT